CCGGACCTCAACCGCGAGTATCCACGCCAAGTGTTCCCTGCCGGACCTCATGTAGGAAGATATGGGACAAAGAATGTGCAGAAGAAAGTGAGAAAAAATTTCAGAAAGAATGTCAGAAGATATGCCAGAAGATATGCCAGAAGATATGCCAGATAGAATGCCAGATAATATGCCAGAAGATATGCCAGATAGAATGCCAGAAGATTTGCCAGATAGAATGCCAGAAAATATGCCAGAAGATATGCCAGATAGATATGTCAGAAGATATGCCAGATAGATATGTCAGAAGATATGCCAGAAGATATGCCAGAAGATATGCCAGAAGATATGTCAGAATATATGCCAGAAGATATGTCAGATATAATGCCAGAAGATATGTCAGAATATATGCCAGAAGATATGCCAGATAGAATGCCAGAAGATATGTCAGATAGAGTGCCAGAAGATATGCCAGATAGAATGCCAGAAGATTTGCCAGACAGAATGCCAGAAGATATGCCAGAAGATATGCCAGATCACATGCCAGAAGATATGCCAGATAGAATGTCAAATAGAATGTCAGAAGATATGTCAGATAGAATGCCAGAAGATTTGCCAGTAAGAAAATGTATAAATGTCATGGTGGGGATCACACGAAGTAAAGTATTTTTTTTTTTTAAATTTGTTTCCTGATTTCCACAGTGAACACGGGGTTGGCTCCCTGGCTTATTTTTGAATTTGTCTTTTCTTTGTATTTTGTATTTTTGAAATTTTGGGTTCGTATTTTTTTTTTTTTATTTTGTATTTTTGAAATTGTTGATTCGTATTTTTTTCTATTTTGTATTTTTGAGCATATGCATTCGTTTTTTTTTTGGCATTTTTACAAAAAATACGAAAAACATAGAAATAAAATACAAAAAATACACTTTGACGTCCAAAAATGTAATTTGTATTTTTGCATTTTTTTTGGTATTTTCCAATCCTTCACAGATTGCACTTTGTCCTTTTGTATTTTTTTCGTTCTTTAGACATGCCGTCAAAGAACAAAACCGCGAATCCATCAATGTATGTTGTATTTTCCTTATGTTGATAATTTTGCCTTGCTCAGTGTTTTTTTTTAAATGTGTGTTTACATTTTTTTGGTATTATTTCTGGATTTTTGATGATTACAGGGATCACAGTCTGTAGCAGACCCTGGACTACTCAAACGTAGTGTAACGTAGTGTAACGTAGTGTAACGTAGTGTAACGTAGTGTAACGTAGTGTAACGTAGTGTCGTGTAGTGTGGTGTGGTGTGGTGTGGCGTGGCGTGGCGTGGCGTGGCGTGTAGTTTAATTGGTGTAGTGTAGTGTGGTTTTGGTGTGGCGTAGTGTGGCGTAGTGTGGTGACATTAATTGAGAAACGTGTAATTGAGTGCAGTGTAGTGGAGCGCAGTGTAGTGGAGTGCAGTGTAGTGGAGTGTAATGTCGTGGTGTGGAGTGTAGTGAAGTGTAGTGTAGTGTAATTAGTGTAGTGTAGCGTAATGTAGTTGTAGTGGTAGTTGTAGTCGTAGTTTTAGTATGTTTCAGTTACAGTTGTCGTTAGTGTAGTGTAGTGTAGTGTAGTGTGGTGTAGTGTGGTGTGGTGTGGTGTGGGGTAGTGTGGTGTAGTGTAATGTGATCAGTGTAGTGTAATGTGATTAGCGTGGTGTAGTGTAATGTAGTATAGTTGTAGTTGTAGTTGCAGTTGTAGTTGTAGTTGTGGTGTGGTCAAGTGTAGCGTCGCGTACCTGAATGCAGTGTCGTGTAGTGAAGTGAAGTGGTGTGGTTGCTGTTGTAGTAGTTGTTGTAGTGGTAGTTGTAGGCATAGTTGTAGTAGCAATTGTAGCTATAGTCGCAGTCGTAGCTGTGGTGTAGCGGAGCGTGGTGTAGTGTAGTGCAGTGTAGTGTAGTGTAGTGATGTGATGTGATGTGATGGTTGTAATTGAAAGTGCTGCAAAACCTGTTTTTCCTTAACTTTTGACAAAGTGCACCATCCCTTGCACCTCCTACACGGAACGACAACTGAGCGTCCAAAAGTGGTCCGAACATGTGGTGCTTTTAACACTTTTGACTTGGAAATGTGGTCCGCGCCACAACAACGTACACTTTTCCGACATGTCAACTTCAAAAAGTGGTCCGAGAATGTTGTGTTTTGCACATTTCGACTTGGAAATGTGCTTTGCGCCACAACGGCGCGCACTTTTTCGACATCTCAACTTCCAAAAGTGCTCCGACCCTGGTGTGTTTTGCAGATTTTGAATTGGAAATGTGTTTCGTGCCACAACGGTGTGCATTTTTTCGACATGTCAACTTCCAAAAGTGCTCCGAACATGGTGTGTTTTGTATATTTTGACTTGGAAATGTGCTTGGCGCCACGACGGCGTGCACTTTTTCGACATCTCAACTTCCAAAAGTGCTCCGACCCTGGTGTGTTTTGCAGATTTTGAATTGGAAATGTGTTTCGTGCCACCACGGTATGCATTTTTTCGACATCTCAACTTCCAAAAGTGTTCCGAACATGGTGTGTTTTGTATATTTTGACTTGGAAATGCGCTTGGCGCCACGACGGCGTGCACTTTTTCGACATCTCAATTCCTAAAAGTGTTCCGACGCTGAGGTGTTTTGTGCATTTTGACTTGACATGTGCTTCGCGCCACAACCGCGTGCAATTTTTCATCTCTCATTTGGCCAGATGGCTCCGCGCCCGCCGCTTTAGCGATCCTACCTTTCGACCTGGAAAAACACAGTGGTTCGCGACTTTCGTGCCTTTTCGCGCGCCTGCGCCTTCTTTCTTCTGACTCTTTATCTTGTCTGATCTTCTCTCTTCTTTTCTTCTCTTTGCTGACTCTTACCACCTCTGCGCTTCAATCTGTCCATATTGTCGGAAATTTGATTTCTAAATTTCCTTCGGTAAAACAATCTAGTTGTGGAAGGTTTCCTTCCCAGCCGTACAGCAGGGTTTCCGTTGCGGGTCTGACCACACAAAAACAGTCGTAAGGTAGAGTTTTTGCACGATTTTGCGGGTATACATTTTGCTGATTGCATTCATTACTAAGAAAGACGATTCTGCGAATTTTATGGGTCAAAATTGGCAATTTTTTTGGTTGTATTTTTGTTTGTTTCTCAGGGTTCAACGCGCCAACAAAACTAAGCACCCAATTCCCGTGTTTGGGATTATGACGTTGTTTTCGTTTTCCCATTGCCAGCAAATTGGTCGCAAATGAAGGTGTTGTCAAAAATTGTTTAAAAAGTGCGACGTGCCTTCCCCATACAAAGGGGTAGAAAGGGGAAATTCTTTGACGTGTCATTTTTTTAAACACCAACGTAGCGGTGGCAACATGTTTTAAAACATTTAACAAATTCCAGTTTAAGGCGTCATTACCTGCCCAGCAATTGTTGTTTCAAGTTTAAGGCATCATTACCGGCCCAGTAGTTGCTATTTCAACCTTTGGTCTTTGGGCTCCATTGATGCTGGCTTTGCGGCGTCGTGTCTTGAGCGATGATTGCACACATTTTTTGTATAGGAATTTGATGGAATTTGGTGGCGCATCAAACGCGAGAACAAATTAATGACCGTCGGACCATTTCCGCCACTAATGACTGTCTTTTTAGATTTCGACCCACGATTTTTGATTGGAAATTGGAAACCTCCAGAAAAAATCCAATGCACGACTCACCGGACATCTTCAAATTTTGCTCCTCCAACCGCGACTTGTTTTTTTCCCAGCCCTGCAGCAAGGGTTCGGACCCGTTCAGGCTCAACAAAACCATTGGAAAAATCGATTCTTTGCAGGTTTTTAATTTACCGATTGAATTAAATATAAGGAAAAAACGTTCTGTAGGCTTCTTGACTCAAAACTGGGCTATCCCATTTGTTGTTGTTTTTTTCATGTTAATTTTATCACACCTATTGATATCCACCGCAGCTGAGTTCCATGAAGTGCAACTTCTCCACAAGATTGGGCTCCAAATTGTGACCATTCAAACATTTTTTCTACAAAAATACTATTTCCAAAAATCAAAAAATAGACGGGTATAAAGATGCCAACATGGGAACCATCTTGACCCCGGTCCTATCTTTATAGGATCAACATTCGCCTCTTACCATCTGCCTGGGTTCCACGTTTGTAGTGAGGGGGTTTTGTGATTAGGTCCAAGATGTGTAGATTTCCACCGTGTGGCCCAGCAGATGCAGACTGTGCCCTACAAACCTGGAAACCAACCCATTGGTTGTACCCACGGGGATAACAAGAAAAAGGCAAGACAATTTTCCAATATTTCAAGTTGTTTTCCTTGCGCGTTTTCAGAAAGGCCTGTGTCAGCCACACACAAAACCTAGCAACAAACAACTTTAAAAATCAACAATGTTCTTTTGAAACAACTTTCTTCTTTTGAAACTTCTTTTAATAGTACCCGAAAGTTTAACAACAACTTTTGAAAACAACTTTTTGTTTAAAAACAACTTTTGGAAAGTTTCTGAAAACAACTTTTTATTTAAAAACAACTTTTGGAAAGTTTCTGAAAACAACTTTTTGTTTAAAAACAACTTTTGGAAAGTTTCTGAAAACAACTTTGTATTTAAAAACAATTTTAAGAAAATTGTTAAAACATTTACTTGTATTTCAAAACAACTTGTAGAAAGTTGTTAAAAACTTTTTTTTTGGTTAAAACTTCTCTAAATTTGTTCATTTTTTCGCATCCGAAACAATGACAAAACACAAATCACAATGTATTTCTGAACAAACGTTCAAGTTCATATGAAGCAGCCCTTCAAAACAAGCCTGTAACATGCACACCAAAAACAAAAAACACATTGCAACACGCTGTAATAAAGTATGTTTCACAAAAATGTTTGGACCATGATTAATCGCAGTAAGTACACTGTTGGCATGTGCAGCGGAGCGGGTACATGGACTGGCCAGCTTGTAGCATGGCAGAATCTCTCTTTGCTGGGCGTTCTTCACTGCAGGGCTCAAGTTTCAACTTAGTTTTGGTTTTGGCATGGCAGCCTTGGGGCTGGATCAAGTCTTGAATTTGGCCCAGCAGTATGGCGCCAGAGATGCGTTGGAGCCAAGAGCACCAGCCGTAGCAGTCGCCAGGGGGGGGGGTCGCAGACCAGGTGGTGGAGGCCTGGGGCGGCACAACCGAGCCCGAGGTGCGGAGGCTAGACAAAGAGGGGCTCGCTGGGCAAGGAAGCAGAAACAACTTGTTTTGCAGAGCAAGTGCTTCAACAAGACCGGCCATGCCCGAACAGCAGATCATCGGCTACCAAGCCAACAAGACTTGAGTCGGCAGAGTGTGGCAGGCAAAGGGAAATGGAAGACTTGGACTCCAGAAGCGATCTTGCGCGCAGGCTTTGGGCAGGAAACTGCAACTTATAGGCAGATAGCAAACGAAGTGGAGGGTGCTTCCTGCAGTCAGGCAAGGGCCGCTAGATTTGCGTGCGCTGCCGCAGTGTGCAAGTCTCAGGCAGAGAGCTGTGAGAAAGTGGTGGCAGAGGCTTCAGAGGAACCCCTCAGATTCTTCATTCAAAATTTGATGTTTGACGAGTCAACCTTTGACCTGAGAGTCGGCAAGGATGCCGCCAACAGTTGCTCTGTTCTGTGCTCGCACTCTCAATGGACAATGGGCTTTGCCCCCTCTTTGGAAAGTGCCAGGGACGCCGTCCGGGATGAGCACATCGTCATGGCAGGCCAACTTGCGAGAAAATTGATTTTGCCATGGCAGCAGTATCCTTGGTGTTTATGGCCGCTGGCCTTGAAAGACGCAAGCCAAGAAGACCGCAGGTCATGTGCTAAAGCTTTACTCAACAGTAAGCCTTGCTGTCTGGACAGCGGTTTTTCACAGCGGCTCAAGCGCATACACCGCACAGAAGAAGAACTCTTGAACTCGCAGCTCCAAGTCTTTTTGCAAAAAGTTTTCGAACGTGTTGTGCCAACATCAACTTTCATTGAGCGGCGGTTCGCCCAGTTTGCCCATTGGAGCGACCAACAGCCCAAGCTTGGCACTTTGGCAGCCAAGCACGTGACTAGTTTCTGCAAGGGCGCTGCCCAGGCTTGGAAACAAAACCACCCGCAGCACCAGAAGCGAAATCATTTGTCTCGTCCTGACTGGGTAGAACAAAAGCAAGGAAGCCGAACCACAGGATACAATGTATTTATGTCTGAGTTCAGGAAGAACTATTCAGCGCAGCAAGTGGCTGGAGATGAAGGGAGGCAAACCTTTGTTCAAGAGGCTACAGCTGCTTGGAGAAGACTTTCTCCCGGAGAGAAAGCGCCTTACAGTTTCAAGGCGCGTGGGCTGAACAGTCTGCGCAGCAGAAGCTCCCAGATGTCAGACAACGAGGCTGGCCCTGAAGGCCGAGAGACTGGCGGCTTGTGGAACACATGCCTGCTGCAAGACAGATGGCCGCTCCGAGTTGATCTGTTGGAAGCTGCCATGGGGGAAGGGATTGTGGCTTTACGAAAGATCTCATCGGCTTGGGAAGAGGCCAGGTCAACAGAGCCATCATCCACCATCAATTTTTCTATATTCAATCATCATCAATCATCACTACCGCAACATCAGAAAGACAGGCCATAGTCATAGTCATAGTCATACTACTGTCTGTTTGCTTTTCCACTCCAACCCAAATATTTTTGGCTGGCATTGTTCATTTGGAGGAGCATGCAATGCTGGTGGAGGCGGAAGATGATCTGCCAGATGTGAGTGATAACTTGTTTGCTGTGTGCCCGCATGGTGGATGTGAGGAGGAGCTGCAGGCAGCGCAGCGTCCAGTCTTTCGGGAAATCCACGATGACTTGGTCACTGCTGTCCGGGTGATTGAGCCTTTGAAGCGGGACTTGTCTGCTCACCCTTTGGTTTTGGAATGGCACTCATTGTCATTGCAGAAGAGAAGGTTTGCTGTGGTCGCTTTTCACATCCGCAAGCCTCCTTGGGACATGGTCCTTCTTGAGCTGGAGGAAGCCGGGGACTCCGAAGAGCTTCCTTTTTGCTTGGCAGTGCAGCTGGGCAGGCAATCCATTCATTCTGACATTGCATTTTGCCATGAGCTTGCCCGAGCCGCGTCTGACTGGGTCTTGTTTCGCTTGTCCATTGGAGATCTGACCGTGGACTATGGCATTTTCCAAGCCGCAGAGCGCAAGGAACTGAGCCGATCCGAGTTGAGACAAGCTGCTGCTGAAATGAAGCAAGTTATGCTCGCAGCAAAAGCAGCCAAGCTTGCCCAAGGTTTGACCGCAAATAAAAAAAGGAAAAGCAGAAACTCCAACAAACGAAAAAGCAAAGGCAAGCGGTCGCAGACCCTGGCTCCAGATGTTTCGGACATGGAGTGGAATTCTGCCTCTGAAAGCGGGGGCTCCGCTTCTGACTTTGGGGCAGACACCGGCAGTGTTGCAGCGCCTGCTTCTTCGTCCGCTGGACCGGCTCGCAGGGGCTCAGCTTCAGACTTTGCGGCAGACACCAGCAGTGTTGCAGCGCCTGCTTCTTCGTCCGCTGGACCGGCTCGCTCTAAGCGTGTCAAGCAGTCTCGGTCCATTCCCTGGGGTCCATTCCAAATCGCGCCGATTGTTCCGGCCGCTGGCCACAGTGGTTGGGGAGCCATCTGCGGACAGCATTGCGACCGAGGAAACAGTTTGTCTTGCAAGAAAGCTATGAACCGTGGGTCGCTGACCGATGCGGAATGCGTCTTGCGTTTGAAGAGGTGGCTCTTGGCAGGCCATTCAGACCAGAACTGGCCAGTTCACAGGCGACGGTCGCACCATGTAGAGCTGGGTGGCAAAGGTCTGCAAGATTTCGCACAGGGAATGTCTGAGGAAGCTATGGATGCTTTGGTCGCTTCCTGGTTTTGAAGTTCTTTGAGTCATTTGACCGCACTTTCGTTCACCGTTCAAGTTTTCGCAGCCACTGCTTGTCACAATTTGTTTCCAGAGACATTTTACTATTTTTACAGATGCTTAACGTATGTGTATGTTTGTCTATTTATGGAAACAAATGAAACAAAAATGCAATTATATCAAAAAATGTTAAGAACATTTCAAAAGAAGTTTCAATTTCACCGAGAAAGTTTCTGAAAAAAGTTTCGTAGAGAAATCGTAGAGATTTCCTTTTGTTTATATTCAGAGCGTAGAGAAATCAAGTTGTTTCGTAGAGAAAATTCGGTGGAAACTTCTTTTGGAAATTGGCACCTTCTTTTTGAAACTTTTCATCATATATCATATATTCTTTTAATTTTGCGGTAGTTACCAATAGATGCTTCCATGCAAACAAGCCATGCTCTCAGGTGATCGCCAAAAGCGCAAAACAACCAGGAGCTGGAGCGCAAAGCAGAGCCGGACGCTGGTCCCTGTGAAAAAGTGCGCTGGCTGCAGGGTTTTGAACCTTGGACTGCCTGCTTGGCGTCAGCGCTGGCGGTGTTTTGCTCTGCTGTGGCCCGAGTTTGTTGTTCTGAAAAGGGTTGTCGAGGGTAAGTGCTGTCAGGCAGCTTGTTTTCCAGCAGGGCTTTTGGTTCAAACCTGAGCAGTTGTTCTTTACTGCGCGTCGCCGTCATGGAGGATGACCTACTCTCCCAAGCAGCTTCCAGTGTTGGGCCCGTGGTGCTGGCTACTTTGGCAGTGTGTTTTACCCTGAGTAAGGCTTGTGTGTGCTGCCTTTGCAATGCCAAAAGCACTGACCCTTCTCCCTTGGTGGGAGGAGAGGAAGATGACCAGTATGGAGGCCGCCGGCCCTGGAACAAGTACCGTAAAGTGCGCCACCCTGGGTCGGACGAGCAGGTCAAAGTCCCAGAAGGGAAACTGTGCATGATTTGCTTCAGCACCTTCAGAGCGCTGGGTCTGAACTACAAGTATCCATCGTATGGTGCGTACTACAAAGAGATCGTCAATGACAACAGCAAGCATACCAGCTTCATAAACTCTATGAAAGAATGGATTAAGCAAAGAAATGAGGATCCCACTGGGCGAATGGACAGGGAAGCAGTGAAGAAGGCCCACACCACTCTGCACAGTGAGACCAAGACTGGTGTCAAACTCAAGGGTCCCAAGAGGGAGTTCGTACTCCTGGAACATTGGGACCCCAAGCTGGACGGTGAGCTGGACGAAGCACACATAGTGGAAGAAACTTGGCAAGGGAAGAAGGTGAAAGGAATCTGGAGGGCCAAAGGACGTGCCGGTGTGCTGGAAGCTTCCGGGTATGAAGACACCAGTTTGGCTGAGCGCACTGAGGAGCACAGTGGATCCGGCCCTTTCGCTGAGCAAGCTTTAGTGACCAAAAAAACTGCGTTGCAGAAGGTGTTTGCGGATGCCGACGAAGAGAGGCAAAAGCACACAGTGGCCGCAGGCCCTGCATCACAGGCAGGCGATGTTCTGGCAACTTTGCAGAAAATGCTGCCAAACTTGAAACTTGCTGGTGGTGGGCAGGCCCTGAGCGCAGACCCAGAAGCAGATGAGGCTAGCCCTTCTGCACTTGTTGACTTGCACAAGGACGAGGACGAAGATGAAGCAGAAGAAGAGGAGGAGGTTTGCCCAGCAGCTCGCCTAGCTGCAACGGTTGGAGGGCCCAAGGCCGCCAAAGCTAAACCGAAGGCAAACCCAAAGGCAACTGCAAAAGCAGCTTCCAGGCCCAGTGTGACAGCTACGCCCAAAGCAGCAGAGGGCCGCAGGCCGGGAGAACAGAGCAACAGTAGTGCTCGCCCAAAAGCAGCTGCCGCCAAGGCCACAGAGGAACCGCAGAAGCGGGTGGCCGCTACTGAGACCCTCCAGCTCGACGGTCGCGGAAAGCGATTGAAAGAAAACCTCGCAGAGATGTGCCAGAAGTTGGAGGACACACTGGAGGCAAATCACTTGGAAGTCAACTACAGCTTGCAGCACGCTGATGCAAAGTTGGTGTATTCAAAGAAAACAAAGGCTTTGAATTCCTTACTGAATACTGCAACTAAGCAGATCAAGAAGATTGAGGACAGCGTCAACAAGCACGGCTTGGTTGAAGAGCTGGAGCGGTTCCAAAGCCTTCAGGATGTCATCCAGAAGCTCTTGGACTTGTTCACCAGGCTGAACATAGCCAGCCCAGTTGCCGATGAACTGGCAGAAGCAGTCGAGGCATGTAAATCCTCGCCCTTTAACATCGTGCTTGGCCCAGAGGTGTGGCAGAAGTTGCTCAGCACAAAGTGCTCCCAGTGCTGTTTGTACCAAGACTTCAGTGCTTACTGCAAGCTGTTCCGTTCGTCTGAGGATGAGGCCAGGCGTTTACACATTTGGGCAAAGCTGGCTACAAAGTAGCATGGTTGATGGAGCCTGCTTGGTTTCTGGATTTTTGAAAGACATTTGGTCTTTAGGCAGGCAAATTTGTTTCGGGAGGTTGCCAACCTGTATAAGTTAATAAGTTTCAGTTTAAGTTATAAGTTATAAATCATCATCCAACACCTTTGTTCCCCATGTTCCCCCTCATAGTTTCACAGTATGCTTGCTGATACTTTCTGGTAATTTCAAGCCATTCTAAGTGCAAAGATTGTGTCTGCCTTCCAGCCCTCAGGTGAAGGAGCTGCGAATCCGGATGTCTCAGCAAGACTTGGCTCAGCTTGTCGACCTGGAAGTGGAGCAAGCGCTGGCCAACATGCTCCGCAACTTTCCTTCTCAGGATGTTCAGAAAAAGGAAAGCGACTATCGCTGTCAAGTGGTTACTTTTTGCGAGGCCATTGTGGCAGAGCAAGGCCACCCGGATTCTGAGCTTTCAGGCCCATGTGCGAAGGTTGCAAGTATGGTGGTAGACCTGATGTCTCTTGGAGACGTTGTTGCTTTGCAGCGTGGCGCAGAGAAGTTGAAGGAGCTAGGGGCAGATGAGCGCCCGGGATCTGTTGTTGCTTTCTTCACCAAACACAAAGTAGGACAGAGCTTGACCCAGGCTTCAGCCGAAGTCATGGTGGAGGGCGCTGCCCGTGTGAATGTGGAGCAAGCTTTGCAAGAGGCTTCTGCTGCTTTGCAAGTTGTCAAGGAGAAGAGTGTCGCTGGAGAAGAAGAACTGTCCGGCGTTGTCGCGGTCTTTTTTGAGAAGAAGCGGCTCGTTCAGAAGGAGATTGTTGACATGAAGAAGCAAGGCACGCACATGCAGAAAGCAACCACGAGGGCCACGCAAGAGCTGGAGAACATCAGCCAAGAGATGTGGTCTTGGTTGAATTCTGCCCTGAGGCTTGAATTGTTGAACACTTTGTGCGGCGTGCTTGAGAACAGTTCAGCTTTGCTTTCCGCTCAGAAGATTCGGTCGCCGACCCGGTGTTAAAACCCGCTGCCGTGAGTGCTGGAGTAGCAGTCTTGAAGCGCAAACTCAGAGAGCGCAAGTCGCAATGACCAGCTTGGACAGGGGAAAAAAAAAATGGTTTCACGCTTGGGCCCTGGAGGGGGAAGGGTGTCTGATTTTCACACTACTGGGAACGGTTGCATGGTGAGGGCGTTGATTTCAATTGATGTTAGCCAGGAATGAGTAAATCGATTTGAACACGAATTGACGATGTGGTGGCTGATGTTGCTTTGCTGTCCGATTGCAGTGCATTCAAACACAAGTTTGTAGGAAATTCTTTCGAGTAAATAATTTGATGAAACAAGTTTTCAGAAACTTCTTTTATGTAAACGATTTATTGAAAGAAGTTTTCAGAAACTTCTTTTAAATCAGTTATTTGCTGAAAGAAGTTTTCAGAAACTTCTTTTTAACTACTTTTAATGATAAAACAAGTTGAAAGAAGTTTCTGAAAACTTCTTTTTAACTCCTTTTAATGATAAAACAAGTTGAAAGAAGTTTCTGAAAACAACTTTACAAAGAAGTTGCAATTTCGCAAAAGAAGTTGGATTGTTTCAAAAGAAGTTGTTAAAAGAAGTTGTAAATTTTGAAGCTCCGTAAACACTACTTTTGGGGTACAGGCCACAGGCCTTCTGAAAACACCCAATGTTTTCCATAAGCATTTGCACGAATTTATGTAGTGCACACTTGATATGCTTGCATTCATATTTGTCGTTTTCCAGTGTTGCAATTTCCTTCAGGAAGTCAACTCGACCACCACTTTTCGGAAGATATTGCAAACCAATCCCACGACGAGATTCCGAAACAGATGTTATGCGAATGCGTCACGCATATTGCACAAGAAAAATCATCAACATGTGCTGGATGCAGCTGCGAAAACATCTGCTCATATTCTGGCATCCCTGGTGTCCAGAAAATTGTGCTGACTCTGGGGCCATCAGTCGACTCCGACGAAACTTTGCTGGATTGCCATTTTTGATTTTCTTTCCCGAAAGGTTCTTGTAAAATGGATTGTCAGCACGTCCATTTCTAACAGGCTACGGCATTTCGACAAAGATTGCCAACGCATCGACTGTTGCCAAGTCTTCGGTGCTGAAAAAACATTTTTCATCCAGAGAAAAAATGGCCTTTGCATAAGTAATGAGGTCACTGTCTCCCGCATCATGTGCCGTCAGTACGGGGTCAAGTTCCACAACCCCGTCAGCATTTACCATATGCACATCATTTGGAATCATCACTGTTTCCCTTACATAACTGCATTTCAATGTAGGTAACGACTAGCCCGGGCACACGCACACATGTTTCTTCAAATGAACCTGCCTAAACATGTTTTCAAAGTGTAGCTAACTATGATCATCATTATGCAGCCATCAGAACTTGATGCGGGAGTTGTTCACGTATCGTTTTGGGTGGTTTACACGCGCATTCTGGTGCACTACTGTATTTTAACGTTAACGACCCGTTTGAGGTGACTATGGCAGATCACAAGAAGACATGGTAGAACATGTTCCCCGCAACCCCCTGGTTCGCCCACACTCAAACAACACATCCAAACAATATGATATACTTATCACCAGAGGATCAATGAAAACACTGGCTATATGCAGTGATTTTGACCTTAAGTTTTCATGATTTAGGGTTTAGGGTTTTAGGGTTTACCGTGTTTGTTGTTGTGGAAAGTAAAAAACTTAAACCCTGCGCAGGGATTTGGGCATGTCAAAGGATATGCGGGATTGGCCGCGGGCAAACCTAGGGGTTACAGCGAACATGTTCATTTGGAACAGCAGACCGTTTTTTTTTTTGACCAGTTCTTTGATCAGTCATGCAGGTGGGGTATGATGGGGTAGGCCTGCATGTTACTCGCAACATAATGTCAAGAAATTGAGGAGGCATGCATGTCATGATCTGCAGCAAACCTTTTCCTCAGAACTGGCAGTTTGTAGAGTACTCGTACATGTTTCCATGTGAAGCATGGGTGCTCGCGGAAAGCGAGTGCTGGCAACTTGACTGCATGATCCTGCATGTTCCCTCGCCCGTCACCGTCACGGTTATCCAAGGTCATCCAAGGTCAAAATTTGTGGGCATAGGTGGCTGGCAGTGACGCTTCAGCATCCGAGTCTTTTTCCTCCAGGAATCAGGTAGAGATCTTTGGGAAGAATTCGTGCCACACATAGAGGTCTCCAGGATAAAGCCTATGATTCATCCCATGATAATGGTATCCCATGAAAATGCTTGGGGCTGGCAAAAGCGTTTGGAATCTTCGGGAATTTTCCGGAACCTGTGAGGCATTCCTTGTGTTCACCTTCGGCCTGACTAGCGCTTTACGCGATGAAACGAGGCACAGCACAGCGGCCTTGGTGCAAACTTTGGTTGTGTAGTTTAGTAGTTACTTCAATCCATTTCAATCCTCTGCCACAATTTTGATGTGAAAGATACATACACGATACATTTAAGATTATATAATCGAAGGAAGTTTAGAAGTCAAACTTCCGACAATATGGACAGATGAAAAGCAGAGGTGGAGCAGAAGAATAGAGAAGAGAAGAGCAGAAGAGAGAAGATCAGAGAAGAGAAAGAGTCAGAAGAAAGAAGATGAAGGTGCGCGAAAAGGTGGGAAAGTCGCGAAGCACTGTGTTTTTCCAATGATTTGTAGCTCCAGAGGGGCGAAAAGTAGGCTTGCTAAAGCGGCGGGTGCGGAGCCAGCTGGCCAGATGAGAGATGACAAATTGCACGCCGTTGTGGCGCGGGGCACATTTCCAAGTCAAAATGTACAAAGCACCTCAGCTTCGGACCACTTTTAGAAGTTGCGATGTCGAAAAAGTGCACGCCGTTGTGGCGAAGCACGCTTGCAAGTGAAAAAACTAAAAACACCTCACGTTCGGAGCACTTTTGGAAGTTGAGATGTCGAAAAAGTGCACGCCGTTGTGGTGCGAAGCACATTTCCACGTCAGCTTCGGACCACTTTTAGAAGTTGCGATGTCAAAAAAGTGCACGCCGTTGTGGCGCGAAGGACATTTCGAAGTCAACGCACATGTTCGCGCCACTTTTGGACGTTCAGATGTCGTTTCGCATGGCAGGCGCAAGGGATTGTGGACCTTGTCAACAGTGAGGAAAAACGTGAGGGTTTTGTGGCATTTCCAAAAACGATGGCAGGCGTGGGACATTTGAAGAGGACCTGCAAAGATCCATTTTCCGTGGCAGGCACAGTACAAGAGACATTTTCATCAGAGCTGTTACGAGGTCCGGGCGCTGATTTCCTGAGAGGGGGTTGAAATGAGGCCTCAAATTTTCAAGATTTGCAGAGATGATTTTGCGTGACAGGTGCAGCACTTCGTACGACATGGCATCACTTTTTCGTGGCAGGCGCAGTAGTTTAGACAGATGGACTGGAAAAAAACGCAAAACGCATTGGTACGAGGCCGTCAGCTCTGCACTCAATTTTCTATTTTTGAAGGACGTCTCGCAGAATTGCTTCGCTTTTGATGTTGTCAACTTCAAAAAAAAGGAAGTCTGGCAGAATTGCTTCGTTTTTGATGTTGTCAAGCGCAAAAATCGAGGAAGTCTCGCTGAATTGCTGTGTTTTTTGATGTTGTCAAGTTTAAAAACTGAAGAAGTCTCGCAGAATAGCTTTGTTTTCAAGCTTGCAGATAGATAGATAGATAGATAGATAGATAGACAGACAGACAGACAGACAGACAGGGAGAGAAAGAGAGAGAGAGAGAGAGAGAGATAGATAATGATAGATAGATAGATAGATAGATGGATGGATAGATAGATAGATAGATAGATAGGTAGATAGATAGATAGATAGATAGATAAAGAGGTAGCTAGATATATAGATAGATAGATAGATAGATAAATAGATAGATAGATAGATAGATGGATAGATGGATAAATAGATAGATAGATAGATAGACAGACAGACAGAGAAAGAGAGAGAAAGAGAGAGAAAGAGAGGAGACCTCAACCACCTTTCGGTCCATCAGTGGCTTCGCTCTGCCATCCGTGATTCACAACAACCAACCTCTCCTATAGGTTTCCTATTTTTGAAACTTCCGCCACCGCCTTGTGCGGTACTACTGGAACACACATAGGATACATATAGGGTACATATAAGATATGTATATGAGAATTTTTGGAATATTATGAACAGTATACATTAATAATCCCTACCCTCTTAAAAATGGAATTGGAGGGGGGGGAGCCGTACTGAAATTTCATTTTAAAATTCAATTCTCGCAATCATGTTTTCTCAATGATCAATATTCCTCATCATTCCATGTCATTGGCAAGCAGGTGAAAATTAAATACTTGCGCTTAGCTCCGGAGGAGCTAAGCACATGTCAGGCTGAAGCAGCACATGTGTAGGGATGGCATCCCTCCAAAAATTTGCACTTCCGTGATCATACTTGCGCTTAGCTCCTCCGGAGCTAAGGGCAAGTATTTTCAAACCAGTGCCCCAGGCTTGTTAATAAATGTTACTTTACAATTCCATTCGAGGGGTTGGATCACTATCCCAGGGGTTCCAAGCAAAAAAAAATGGAATTCGACAGGTTGGTTTTGTCCCCCCCCCGCCCTCCCCCTCTATAGGGGTAGGGATCATTAATATACATATGAAATTCGAGCAGAATGTAACCAGTACATACCAGTACCAACTGCAGGATATCACCAGGGCATGCCTCGTGTCCCCCTGGCACCGCAGGTTCGCCCTTGAAGCGGATGATGTCAAAGGCAGCTCTGGCAGCTCTTGCGCGAACTTCGTGATGACCACATTGACGCAGATTGATGCTGTCAAGGACCGGGGTGGTCCCAGTTGAACCCCGTCCCCAAACCACATGGGCACAGGTTACCGGTTGAGAGTTGGGATACCTTAAGATTCTCGAATCTCGTTTTTGGTTATTTTTATTCGCGTGCATTTTTTTGAGGGGGAGGGTGAACACAAGTTTCACCCATACCGGTTTAAACAGATGCAGAGGCTGTGTGATTCAGGGGTCAAATGAAGAGTCAGGCCCACGAGTTCACATGTAAAGTCAGGTCTATCAGTTCGTATTAATCTTTCATTCGTGGGTGTTAGCAAAAACCAGTGTAAAAACGCATTTTGCATTTGACAACCTGCATCTACCAGTGAGAAAAATTGCAAGTTTCGAAAGGACCCTGGTGCTCGTATCGGCGCAGTGTTGGCAGGGCAGGATACTTGCAACAGGCAAAACGATGTGGGCTTGGTCAGAAACGGAGAGAAATGAGGGGACAATGATTGAAAATTATAATGCACATTTATGGGTTATACTCCATATTTTTTTGACAAATGTTGATTTCTCCTGCTTTAGTGATGCCTCGCAGATGTTTCTCTTCAACTCTGGTCGCTGAACTCAGGATTTCTTAGCGGATTGTTGCCGCAACACCGACTATGATGAGTTCCTGCAAGCCGCTGCGACTCCTATGAATGAGTCCTACGTGGTAAAAGGGTGCCATGGCTGTGTGTGTTCGAACTGGTCCAGCACGGTTTGCAGTTTTTTGCTTTGAAAAGCATGAGTATACAATGATGGGCCCTGTATGATAGAAATGGGGTTATGAAGTTATATAAAACCAATAGCCACTCCTTTTTAGAAATTGCAGGAACCAACAATTATACAAGAGTAGCGTTTTTCCTGAGGCTGGCCCAGACATTCTTCAGGTTTCATGATCCGACTGCGGGCCTCCCAAATCTTGGCAGGCTGCCTTTATTTGACAAGCAGACTGCACTGGTGATCGTCGACATGCAACGGGACTGCCAGTGTGTCTTCAGTTCTGATGAATCCGGAACAGAGATTCTACACATCCTTGGAAAGTATGAAAAAGTGTGCCAGTTGTTGGACACCGCGCAGTTTTTTGGACCACATGTGAACACGAACACACACACACACCGCCATCATCATCATCATCATCAGCATCATCAGCATCATCTTCATCTTCTTCATGTTCATCTACACATATGTACGCATACATACATATATTTAATATATAGCTGACCGGTAGCCCTCTATGAATATGTGAATAAAAATATGAATGAAACACACACACACAACTATATACATAATTATACGCATTTTGTTTGTTACACGCATATAGATATTCTTAGAATTTCTTAGACATATTCGCTTATATATATATATGTATATATATATATGTATATATATATATATAGATATGTATATATATATATGTATATATATATATAGATATATATATGTATATATATATATATGTATATGTATATATATATGTACATATATGTATATATATATGTATATGTAAATATATTTATATGTATATATTTGTATATATACGTATATATATATATATATGTGTATATATGTATATATGTATGTATGTAGGTATGTATATCATTTACACCAGCACTTCCCACAGCCAGGATTTCACCGAGGGCTCCTTTGCTCAGCCCTGCTGGTCCAAGATTGGAAAAAAGTTCCTGACGCAGATGGTCGATGCTATTGAGAAAGCCCAGGCGATTTCTTTGGAGAGACGCCATGATAAATAATGCCGTGCAACCGCGTGCAATTGCCAGTAATTGGGATAATTGGGGTGGAATGATCGGAAGACATTGACATATATTATGATATTGGAATGATTAGGCTGAATCCTGCTTTTTGTTAGCGACGCCAGTGAAACTGTTGCGCGATCTTGCGGGGGGTTGGCAAATTGTCTGAGCCAGAAGGAGTAGGAATTTTCAAATGCTTGGTGAAATCGAACTAGTTGGATTGAGGGTACCCTCTGGTAATCAACCATGGCAATGATCAACCATCCATTTATAGATGATATTCCCATTCGAACGATTTTTTTTGGGGGATTTCGCATTGTCATGTTTGATGGCACGGGAAGGCACTTGATGTTTCTTTAGTCAATGATCTCAATGGAGTGGCGCTGAAACTGTGCTTGGAGGCTGCTGGCTCCTTGATCATCGCTACTAAAGATTTTCACCCCCAGGACCATTGCAGCTTTGCCGGCGAGGCCCGGCATTCAGTTGGAAACGCCAAAGAAACGACTACAAAAAGATTTACCATATTTATTAGATATTTCAGTAGGTTAGTAGGACTTACTTTCTATCTTTTCGGGGTTTGGTGTATAATATATATAGACACATATTAGTAACTAGTAGCAATAATACCGGCATGGTACTCGCTTGTGCACCTGAGAATCGTCTCGCTTGTGCACCTGAAAATCCTCTCGCTTATGCACCTGAGAATCTTCCACTTCTACCTCTACTTGCACCTATCATTCTACTTCCACTTCTACTTTCAGCTCTATTCCTACTTGTCCTTCTACTTATTTTTCCACATCTATTTCTACTTCTCCTTCTTCTTCCACTTCTACTTCTACGTCCACTTCTACATCTAGTGCAACAACATATAAACCCTAAAGGTGTCGTGGCTCTTCTTACATCAAGTGCAACAAGGTATAAACCCTAAAGGTGTCGTGGCTCTTCTTACATCAAGTGCAAAAAGATATAAACCCTAAAGGTCGCGTGGCTCTTCTTACATCAACTGCAACAAGATATAAACCCTAAAGGTGTCGTGGCTCTTCTTACATCAAGTGCAACAAGATATAAACCCTAAAGGTCGCGTGGCTCTTCTTACATCAAGTGCAACAAGATATAAACCCTAAAGGTGTCGTGACTCTCCTTACATTAAGTGCAACAAGATATAAACCCTAAAGGTGTCGTGGCTCTTCTTACATCAAGTGCAACAAGATATAAACCCTAAAGGTGTCGTGGCTCTTCTTACATCAAGTGCAACAAGATATAAACCCTAAAGGTGTCGTGGCTCTTCTTACATCAAGTTCAACAAGATATAAACCCTAAAGGTGTCGTGGCTCTTCTTACATCAAGTGCAACAAGATATAAACCCTAAAGGTGTCGTGGCTCTTCTTACATCAAGTGAGACAAGATATAAACCCTAAAGGTGTCGTGGCTCTTCTTACATCAAGTGCAACAAGATATAAACCCTAAAGGTGTCGTGGCTCTTCGTACATCAAGTGCAACAAGATATAAACCCTAAAGGTGTCGTGGCTCTTCGTACATCAAGTGCAACAAGATATAAGCCCTAAAGGTGTCGTGGCTCTCCTTACATTAAGTGCAACAAGATATAAACCCTAAAGGTGTCGTTGCTCTTCTTACATCAAGTGCACCAAGATATAAACCCTAAAGGTGTCGTGGCTCTCCTTACATTAAGTGCAACAAGATATAAACCCTAAAGGTGTCGTGGCTCTTCTTACATCAAGTGCAACAAGATACAAACCCTAAAGGTGTCGTGGCTCTTCTTACATCAAGTGCAACAAGATATAAACCCTAAAGGGGTCGTGGCTCTCCTTACATCAAGTGCAACAAGATATAAACCCTAAAGGTGTCGTGGCTCTTCTTACATCAAGTGCAACAAGGTATAAACCCTAAAGGTGTCGTGGCTCTTCTTACATCAAGTGCAACAAGATACAAACCCTAAAGGTGTCGTGGCTCTTCTTACATCAAGTACAACAAGATATAAACCCTAAAGGTGTCGTGGCTCTCCTTACATTAAGTGCAACAAGATATAAACCCTAAAGGTGTCGGGGCTCTTCTTACATCAAGTGCAACAAGATATAAACCCTAAAGATGTCGTGGCTCTTCTTACATCAAGTGCAACAAGATATAAACCCTAAAGGTGTCGTGGCTCTTCTTACATCAAGTGCAACAAGATATAAACCCTAAAAGTGTCGTGGCTCTCCTTACATTAAGTGCAACAAGATATAAACCCTAAAAGGTGTCGTGGCTCTCCTTACATTAAATGCAACAAGATATAAACCCTCAAGGTGTCGTGGCTCTTCTTACATCAAGTTCAACAACATATAAACCCTAAAGGTGTCGTGGCTCTTCTTACATCAAGTGCAACAAGGTATAAACCCTAAAGGTGTCGTGGCTCTTCTTACATCAAGTGCAACAAGATATAAACCCTAAAGGTGTCGTGGCTCTTCTTACATCAAGTGAGACAAGATATAAACCCTAAAGGTGTCGTGGCTCTTCTTACATCAAGTGCAACAACATAAAAAATCCTAAAGGTGTCGTGGCTCTCCTTACATCAAGTGCAACAAGATACAAAACCCCAAAGGTGTCGTGGCTCTTCTTACATCAAGTGCAACAAGATATAAACCCTAAAGGTGTCGTGGCTCTTCTTACATCAAGTGCAAAAAGATATAAACCCTAAAGGTGTCGTGGCTCTTCTTACATCAAGTGCAACAAGATATAAACCCTAAAGGTGCGGTGGCTCTTCTTACATTAAGTGCAACAAGATATAAACCCTAAAGGGGTCGTGGCTGTCCTTACATCACGTGCAACAAGATATAAACCCTAAAGATGTCGTGGCTCTTCTTACATCAAGCGCAACAAGATATAAACCCTAAAGGTGTCGTGGCACTCCTTACATCAAGTTCAACAACATATAAACCCTAAAGGTGTCGTGGCTCTTCTTACATCAAGTGCAAAAAGACACAAACCCTAAAGGTGTCGTGGCTCTCCTTACATTAAGTGCAACAAGATATAAACCCTAAAGGTGTCGTGGCTCTTCTTACATCAAGTTCAACAACATATAAACCCTAAAGGTGTCGTGGCTCTTCTTACATCAAGTGCAACAAGATATAAACCCTAAAGGTGTCGTGGCTCTTCTTACATCAAGTGCAACAAGATATAAACCCTAAAGGTGTCGTGGCTCTTCTTACATCAAGTGAGACAAGATATAAACCCTAAAGGTGTCGTGGCTCTCCTTACATCAAGTGCAACAAGATATAAACCCTAAAGGTGTCGTGGCTCTCCTTACATTAAGTGCAACAAGATATAAACCGTAAAGGTGTCGTGGCTCTTTGTTTGCAATGTGTGATAGCGTAATTTCCTGGTAATTTACGTATTAAAAAAATGCAACAAGATATAAACCCTAAAGGTGTCGTGGCTCTGTGTTTGCAACGCGTGATAGCGTAATTTCCTGGTAATTTACGTATAAAATGCAACAAGATATAAACCCTAAAGGTGTCGTGGCTCTTTGTTTGCAACGCGTGATAGCGTAATTTCCTGGTAATTTACGTATAAAATGCAACAAGATAAAAACCCTAAAGGTTTCGTGGCGCTTTGGTTGCAATGCGTGATAGCGTAATTTCCTGGTAATTTACGTATAAAATGGAGACCCAGGTGCGTAAGTAAGTGATTTTCGAGGTGCGCAAGTGAGTGCATTTCCCAGGTGCGTAAGTGAATGAATTTCTAGGTGCGCAAGTGAGTGTAGTGCCATTATACCCCAGCCAAATACCAAGCATGTCTCTCCCCATATGAAACTGGGATGGGTTGATGTTGGCTATGTCGACTGTGTTGACTGCCTCCCTTTTTGCCGCCAGTCCAGCTGTATGAACAAGAAGGATGCCAACGAAGAGAGCGCCCTGTCGAGGCGATCCACCTGTCAACTCAAGATAATTCAAGAAACTGCATCAGTCCAGACCTAGGACCCTAAAAGTCCAGTAGTCGTTTTTTTTGAGGTTAGCTATTGAGATGCGAAATGCTGTTTTGCGCCTAATTTTTTTAGGCCCCGTTGTTTTCCCTGCTGGGCTGGGCCAGGTATGTCAACGAATTCCCGAGCCATTGCAGCAACTTTGATGCAATTTTCTTGGCAATTTGTTCAATCTAAAACCAGAAACTAAAGGCGATATGTTTCTGTGTTTCTGTTTTAACTTTCGTTCTTTGGTAGATTCCCCAAACATCCCCAAACCATTTCAAACCTGCCAAGCAGTCCAGGGCTAGACACAGTACTGTAGCAAAACTGTCTGAAACTTTCAGCCCGGTGAGTGGTCTCTCAGAGCGACTCAAGGTTTTTCGCCCCAAGATGGATTGGCGATACCTCAACCAGCAACGGAAACAGCTTTCTGCAAGCACATGTTTGAGCAAGGCATCAAGGCTGGAAGTGCGCCATGAACTCCTTGGTTGTGGATGATGAAGACTTGTAGTGATCTATAGTGATATAGAATGGCTTGGTACTGATTCAGAGTTTATGTTGATTTGCATTCTATAATCAATAGAATCCAACCTCTTTTACATTGTCCTATTTGGTAGGGCCCATATTTGTACGCCAAGACATGGTCCCCTGTCTTGGTTGGGGAATCACTGTAGTGACCCCATTGATTGTAGATATTGTAGCATTTTCTGATGGCAAAAATCAGAAAGGGTGTGAAATAGTTTTAGGATTTTTTTTTGAGCAGGTTTGTTTTTTTTTTTGATTTCTTGGCTGGTACCATTTGCCTAGTGTTTGCAACGGTTTGGAACTTGAATTTGTCATTTTGCATGGTATTTGCCACATTTGGGCATGTTCACCTTCCATTTTGCATGGGATTTACTACATGTGGGCATGTTCACCTTCCATTTTGTATTGTATTTGCCACATTTTGGCATGTTCACCTTCCATTTTGCATGGGATTTCCTACATGTGGGCATGTTCACCTTCCATTTTGTATGGAATTGCCACATTTTGGCATGTTCACCTTCCATTTTGCATGGGATGTTCTACATGTGAGCATGTTCACCCAAATATTTACAGACGCGGAAGCTTGGGATTAGATAAAAAGCGGGTGGGGGGGATTGAGGGAGGGCGCTAGCTATCTATCCAGCTAGCTAGCTATCTAGCTATCTAGCTAGCTATCTATCTAGCAAGCTAGCTATCTATCTAGCAAGCTATCTATCTATCTAGCTATCTACCTACCTATCTAGCTATCTTGCTAGCTATCTATCTACCTATCTAGCTATCTAGCTAACTATCTAGCTATCTAGCTATCTAGCTTTCTATCTATCTCTATCTATCTAGCCATCCAGCTGTCTATCCAGCTATCTAGCTATCGAGCTATCTAGCTAATCTATCCTATCTAGCTATCTAGCTTTCTATCTATCTAGCTATCTATCTATCTAGCCATCCAGCTGTCTATCCAGCTATCTAGCTATCGAGCTATATATCTAGCTATCTATCTATCTAGCTAACTATCTACCTATCTATTTAGCTATCTATCTATCTATCTATCTAGCTATCTATCTAGCTACCTCTTTATCTATCTAGCTAGCTATCTATCTATCTAGCTATCTATCTAGCTATCTATCTAGCCATCTATCTATCGAGGTATCTAGCTATCTATCATTCTAGCTATCTATCTATCTAGCTGGCTATCTATCTATCTAGCTATCTATCTACCAAGCTATCTATCTATCTAGCTATGTATCTAGCTACCTGTCTAGCTATCTATCTAGCCATCTATCTATCGAGGTATCTAGCTATCTATCTCTCTAGCTATCTATCTATCTATCTATCTATCTAGCTGGCTATCTATCTATCTAGCTATCTATCTACCAAGCTATCTATCTATCCAGCTATCTATCTATCTATCTCTCTCTCTCTCTCTATCTATCTATCTATCTATCTCTCTCTCTCTCTCTCTCTTTATCTATCTATCTATCTATCTATCTATCTATCTATCTATCTATCTATCTATCTATCTATCTATCTATCACATGTAATCCTGTCAGCTTTCCAGAGAAGGTTAGTTCGCAAAAACCAACTAGTGTAACTTGGGTTTAAGTTTAAATTTTAAAAAAAGCGGGGGGGGGAAGAATGCAAGCACCTCTTCTCACATGTTACGTTGCTAGTTTTCAAGAGAAGGTTGGTCATGTGATACTCAGGGATGTAAATACTGTGCAAAATGCATCTTACATGAAAATCAAGTATTTAAAGCAGGCAAAGCAAAAAAAAAGCAGAGAAGCAAAAAAGCAGAGAAGCAAAGAAACAGGAAACGCACAAAAGCAAAGCAGCAGAAAGGCAAAGAAGAAGCAGGAAAAGCAGAAAAGCAGAGAAGCAGGAAAAGCAGGAAAAGCAGAGAAGCAAAGAAACAGGAAAAACAGAAAAGCAAAAAAGCAGAAAAGCAGAGAAGCAGAGAAGCAGGAGAAGCAGAAAAGCAAAAAAGCAGAAAAGGCGAGAAGCAGGAGAAGTGTGAAATAGTTTTAGGATTTTTTTTTGAGCAGGTTTGGGATTTTTTTTTGGATTTCTTGGCTGGTACCATTTGCCTAGTGTTTGCAACGGTTTGGAACTTGAATTTGTCATTTTGCATGGTATTTGCCACATTTGGGCATGTCCACCTTCCATTTTGCATGGGATTTACTACATGTGGGCATGTTCACCTTCCATTTTGTATTGTATTTGCCACATTTTGGCATGTTCACCTTCCATTTTGCATGGGATTTCCTACATGTGGGCATGTTCACCTTCCATTTTGTATGGAATTGCCACATTTTGGCATGTTCACCTTCCATTTGCATGGGATGTTCTACATGTGAGCATGTTCACCCAAATATTTACAGACGCGGAAGCTTGGGATTAGATAAAAAGCGGGTGGGGGGGATTGAGGGAGGGCGCTAGCTATCTATCCAGCTAGCTAGCTATCTAGCTATCTATCTAGCAAGCTAGCTATCTATCTAGCAAGCTATCTATCTATCTAGCTATCTATCTACCTATCTAGCTATCTTGCTACTATCTATCTATCTATCTATTCTATCTATCTATCTATCTAATCTAGATATCTATCTATTCTACTATCTATCTATCTAATCTATCTATCGATCATCCTAATCTATCGATCTATCCCTATTATTATCTATCTATCTACTATCTATCTAGATCTATCTATCTGATCATATCTATCTATCTTCTATCTATCTATCTATCTTCTATCTATCTATCTATCTATCTATCTACTATCTACATCTCGCCCTCTTTTAATCTATTCTATCTATCTAGCTCTAGCGCATCCTAAGCTATCTAGCTTTTCTATCTATCTAGCTATCTATCTATCTATCTATCTATCTATCTTCTATCTATCTATCTATCTAATCCTTCACTATCTATCTATCTATCTAGATCTAGCCATCCAGCTGTCTAGCCAGCTATCTAGCTATCGAGTCTATCTTATCTAAGCATCTATCTATCAAGCTCACTATCTACCTATCTATTAAGCTAGCTATCTATCTATCTATCTATTTATCTATCTATCTATCTATCTATCTATATATCTAGCTACCTCTTTATCTATCTAGCTAGCTATCTATCTCTCTATCTATCTATCTATCTAGCTATCTAGCTATCTAGCTTTCTATCTATCTATCTATCTATCTATCTCTCTCTCTCTCTCTATCTATCTATCTATCTCTCTCTCTCTTTATCTATCTATCTATCTATCTATCTATTTATCTATCTATCTATCTATCTATCTATCTATCTAGCCATCTATCTATCTATCCAGCTATCTAGCTATCGAGCTATATATCTAGCTATCTATCTATCTAGCTAACTATCTACCTATCTATTTAGCTAGCTATCTATCTATCTATCTATTTATCTATCTATCTATCTATCTATCTATCTATATATCTAGCTACCTCTTTATCTATCTAGCTAGCTATCTATCTCTCTATCTATCTATCTATCTAGCTATCTAGCTATCTAGCTTTCTATCTATCTATCTATCTATCTATCTATCTCTCTCTCTCTCTATCTATCTATCTATCTCTCTCTCTCTTTATCTATCTATCTATCTATCTATCTATCTATCTATCTATCTATCTATCTATCTATCTATCTATCTATCTATCTATCTATCTATCTATCTATCTATCTATCTATCTATCTATCTATCTATCTATCTTCTATCTCTCTATCTCTCTATCTATCTATCTATCTATCTATCTCTCTATCTCTCTATCTCTCTATCTCTCTATCTACCTATCTACCTATCTACCTATCTACCTATCTACCTATCGCTCCATTCGGAAGGGTCTGCTCGCAGAAAGTTCATGGAGATAAATGTTTATAGTCTCTCTATTTACAAGAGTCTCTATTTTACATTAAATTGTAGTTCAGACACTTGTGGCATTATCTCTATCTAAAAGAGTATATGCCATCTGTGTGAAATAAGTTGAACGCACAGAAAAACTGTACACGGCCTCTCATGCTGTGTTATCTTCATTTAAAGAAGTGTACACTCACTCATCGCCACTCACTTGATCTCCATGGTCTGGACGCTGAAGATGAGGATCCACCCCAACTAACGTTGCCCTGATACGTTGATGCTTGTTCTTCATATGCCTTTCTCTTTTTCTCCTTCTGTCTTTCCTTTCTTGTATCTGCATACTGCTTCTTCTTGAAAGCCTGTTTGTAATGATGTCGTTCATTCCATGACATATCAGAAGGATCAAGATGAACAAGAATTGGATTGTGAGCATCACGATCATTTGGGGCAACCATGAAGATGTTGTGATCACCATGTAAGCAAGTTTCATTTACCTTGAAGTAAAATTCACCCACATAGTTCATGCGATCTTCATCTCCATCAAAGTCTTCTGGGCGTTCCTCACACATCAAACGTGAATGACCCCACTCAACAACTGTTAACATACAACTATCACCTTTACCATTTGTCTTGTTCATGAGCTCGTCGGTGTATGTTGCTGTTGTAATGCCATCCAAGTGCGTTGCAAGAAAATCCAAGTCACGATAACTGCAAGAAATGAAATGCTTGACCCTGATTGGAGGGCAAGATGAATCAAAATGCTTGCGCGTGGCTTGTGTTGCAACACCTACCATTCTGTTAATCCAGAATTGGATAAGGCTATGTTGATATGTAGGGACACCTGGAGATTTTGGTGTGCTGTAATAGCATGCCTTGTTTCCATCACCTGCGATGAAGTCAACTTGATATCTGGCACACTCAAAAGCCATAACAGCTAAGCACTCCCCAACAATCCCAGCAGAGTCTGATGCATACTTCTGTCCGACGTGATAAACGCACACACGTGTCATTCTCATCCTAGCTCTTGTCAAGTCAACAATCTCATCTGTATCTCGATCCTGTGTCTTTCCCCAAGATACTTCAAAGATTGCCCATGAGACTTGTCGAACTCGTGTGTCGTTGTCATC